TGCATGTCTGTGCTTTTCTGCCCTCAACTCAGCCTGAGTTGCCTTCTTAGGGGCTAGAGCCTTAGCTCTCATTTTAGCAGCCACCTCCCTCTGGACTGATTGGGTGTGTTGCCTATGACTTTTTCTCTTATTGGGTTTAAGAGACTGTTCCACTGAGGGGGGAAATTCTGCCTGACCCTTATCTTGCTCCATTTGAAGAATAAAGGCTCTTACAATGGAAAGAAACTGTTTGTAATTTTTTTGTATTAAGCGCCTTAGGGTATAAATTGGCCCCCGGGCTTACAAAATGGCTGCTCACCTCGTGGTGGAAGGCTTGAATCCAAGATGGCCGCTGACTATGGGAAACAGGCTCCAAGATTGAAGAATCCCTCCTTAGGCTATAAAGACCCCCGAGTGAAGTCAGCAAAGGAAAGGGCAGTCGCTGGCCACATGATCAGCTGGCTGGTATCGGTTTGCCAATCGCTTTTTACGACCACTCAAACCGCAGGCGTAGGGGAGGTCTACAGACACTGCCCAACTTGCCTGAACAGCACTCTGGCGATGCTGCTCCCAACGCTGCAGGAGAGAGAGCCTGCTCTCCTGGAAGAGCAGCTGCCCAGATCCTGGGAGCTGCTGAAGTGAGGAAAAAAGGTACTGAAGATTGCTAGTGAGTGCTATCTACAGAACTTCAGCTGGCTGAAGCTGTAGGGTGCATGCATAAGCGCACAATGTGCCTACCATCCCTGTCCTATTGTTTCTTTTATTTTTCTTATATGTACCCATTTCATGTATTCATAACTATGTATATACATATACCTATTATCTTGTAAGCAATTGACAAATCAACATAAATAAAATAAAATAAATAAATAAAATTCCATCTGAGTCTAGGTGTACAGTGAATTAGGAGAATCTGAATTCTGATTTCAAGCAAAACAGGACAATGTTGACTATGAGGAAATTTGTCCAGAACTTTCCTGGTTATTGGAAGTGGCTACATGTTTGAGCCTTCTGAGAAAAAACACAAATCTGGTTTAGTTACACATTTCCAGGTAGCAGATTGGAAAGTACCCTTGTCTTTGGCATCAAAAATCAAATAGACTTTATTTGCAACAGCCCAGTCATAAAGCTGATCCCCATTTTCATCAGAAGAGTGATAGTTCTAATTTACATGATGGCTGTTAAAATCACCTGTGTAAATTGCAGGGTGAGGTTTGATGTCCAAAACATGCTGTGGCCAGGATATCTGAGGTGGCTTGTAAATGTTGACTATTGTGAAATCACCTGATTTTGAAACAACTTTATGTATATTATTGTTTGTGGAGGTTGAGAGTAGAAAAGCATTCTCTATATTCCTTCTGACATACGTAGCTGTTCTGTAACTGTAGTGGTACGTGGCCCCCAGTAGACCAGATCTTTGGATTTTACCTCTATTATATTGCTGATCATCGTTCTCTACAGGTGTTTCTTGAAGGATGGTCATATCTATATTCCTTTCAAATAAAAGTTTGGAAATGTATTGGCTCTTAGATTTGCTGAGCCCTTCAATATTAATTTGGCATATTCTAACCAATCTGTCTTCTCATATGGGCCTGAAAAGGCCCGTTTTGTTTATTCATTGCCATGTATTTAGAGAGCCAGGAGTTCTACAAAGATGTCTGACTGCCAACTGTCATTAACTGCCAATCCTTCAATGTAGTCTGACTGCCAATTGTTGCTAGTTCTTTGGTTCACACTACTGTGCTATCCAGAACAAAAGCCAGGAAAAGCACCAGGCCCAGACAAGTAACTCCTTCTTGCTTAAAAGCTTGTGCTGACCAACTGCCCCCCATCTTCATCCAAATGTTTAATAAATCACTAGAGATGTGCTATGTTCCTTCTTGCTTCAAACACTTTACTATAATCCCAGTGCCGAAGAAACCTTTCATCAAAGAACTGAATGATTTCAGACTGGGTGCTCTAACATCTGTAGTTATGAATACCTTTGAAAGGCTAGTCCTGAAAACCATCATGGATCCACTGTTAGACTCCTTGCAATTTCCCTACAGCGCAAATAGATCAACACATGATGCTATTAATATGACTCTGCACTACATCGTACAACATCTTGAATCTCCAAAGACCTACACAAAGGCCCTCTATGTAGACTTCAGCGCAGCATTCAATACTATCATTCCAAATATTCTTCTAACTAAACTAAATCAGCTAGCTGTATCTGACTACACTTGTAAATGGATCATAAGCTTCCTAACAGACAGGAAGCAACAGGTTAGGCTAGGTGAAATCACATCAGACACGTGGGCTGTGTGCTCTGTCCTCTTCTCTCTCTATACCAATGACTGCATCTCAAAAGATCCTTCTGTTAAAGTATTGGAGTCTGCAGATGATACAACATCATTCAAGACAACGATAAATCTGCATACAGATGGGAGGTTGAACAACTAGCCTTGTGGTGCAACCGGAACAATCTTAAACTAAACACACTCAAAACCATAGAAATGGTGGTAGATTTTAGGAGAAACCCTCCTATACAATCACCTCTTACAATACTAGAGAACACAGTATCAACAGTAGAGACCTTCACATTTCTAGGTTCTATCATATCTCAAGACTTAAAATGGACACCTAACATAAAAAAACATCATCAAAAAAACACAACAAAGAATGTACTTTCTGTGCCAACTCAGAAAGCTCAGACTGCCCAAAGAGCTGTTGATACAGTTCTACAGAGGAATTATTGAGTCTGTCATCTTCACCTCTATAACTGTCTGGTTTGGTTCTGCAACCAAACAAGACAGACACCAGCTTCAATGGATAATTAGAACTGCAGAAAAAAACAATTGCTACCAACCTGCCTTCCATTGAGATCCTGTATACTCACGAGTCAGAAAGAGGGCTGTGAAAATATCTACAGACCCCTCACATTCTGGACATAAATTGTTTCAACTTCTACCCTCAAAACAACGCTATAGGCCACTGCACACCAGAACAACAGACACAAGGAAAGTTTTTTCCCTGAATGCCATCACTCTGCTGAACAACTAATTCAGATTACAGACCAGTGGCACTCACTCCTATCATCATGAAGTGCTTTGAGAAATTGGTCTCCCGGCACATCATTTCTTGTCTTGCGCATACATTTGATAAACACCAGTTTGCCTACAGAAGAAATAGATCTACAGAGGATGCTATAGCCATCACTCTTCACACTGCTCTGACTCATCTAGAACAGCGGAGGAGCTATGTGAGGATGCTTTTTGTAGATTTTAGTTCTGCATTTAACACAATTTTTCCACGTAGACTAGTGTCTAAACTTCTGGACCTTGGACTTTCTTATTCACTTTGCCTTTGGATTATGGATTTCCTGTCTGTTGTATCTTATGATTCTTGATGAATGTATTTTATTTTTTCTTTATGTACACTGAGAGCGTATGCACCAAAGAAAAATTCCTTGTGTGTCCAATCACACTTGGCCAATAAAGAATTCTATTCTACTCTATGTAATCAGGGGCAGAGATAATGTATTCACTTTAGATGCTTTGGATAGGTTGTGACAGCATGAGAACTATGCTAATGAAGAAAAGATGGGAGGTAAATTTGTAAAGGCAATAGAGAATATAAGACAAACATATTGATGATTTAGTGGGTGTCCACTGTACCTGCATCTTTGTGGTTCACCCTCTTTGCAAAGTGAAGAATAAAATTACCACTGTTTTCTCTTGGAAGTTTTATCTGGTGATTGTTTTATTTCAAAACTAGACAATGAATCCCACAGTCCCTATATAAATTCAATAAGCATTCAATAAACAATTCTTTGATCATCATACACAATTCAATACAATTTTTCTTACTAGGATTTCCTTGTTAGTTTTTGCAGTAAATCTGCCACTGCAGCGGCTGCATTGAATTCTTGTAAACTTAAAAGATCAACTAGCTCACACAATGTTAAATTATAAGATTGACATAAACAAGAAGAGAAAAGATACTTGTGAGCAATAAATTATTTATTATGGATTTCCCAATACAAGTCCTAGCCTTCTTCACTCATTGGGTTTTTTTTTCACTTGCAACAACCTGTTGATTTCAGTTTTCAGCTTTAGGAAATAAACATCTTATATTTCACCAATTTTTGCTGCCTTTTCTGATTACCACGTGAATGTGATGCATTCCCTACCAGTACTAAATGCAGAAAAATCCAGTCCTAAACTTTTATTTCCACAACTAGTGCATCTAGTAGATTCAAAAACTATGGATCTGCAGATGAATCATGGGAAAATCCATGCTTTTTTTTTTTTGCAAAAAAAGGCACTCAAAACTGTAGGATTTTTTAGTACAGTGTATCTTGATGCACGAGGACAAAAATAATATTTGATTTAATTATGGCTTTTTTGTAAAAAAAACACCCTTTGAATTATTTTAGTCAGTTTCTGAAGGGACAAGCATCAGAACTAATAACCGAAGGAATGTATTAACATCAGTTGATGTTTCTCTTGATGTGAGCTCATGAGTTATACGGGTAGTTCTTGACTTACAATCATTTGTTTAGTGATCTTTTGAAGTTACAACGGCACTGAGAAAACTGGTTGTGGCCATTTTTCACACTTTTCACACGCTCAGACTTCTGTCGCTTGGCAACATCCATGTATTTATGACAGTTGCAGTGTCCTGGGCCATATGATCACCTTTTGCCACCTTCTAACAAAGTCAATGGGGAAGCCAGATTCACTTAATAAACGTGTTATTAACTTAACTGCTGTGATTCACTTAATAACTGTGGCAAGACCAAAGCGAGCTATTCCAAAACTCCACTTTTGAGGTTCTAAATAACTCCATATTCCAACGAGCTTTGCGGTGAGTCAATGAGTCGAGAATGAACGTCCTTTCCTTTTAAATATGGTCCCTGAGAGCAAGTGGGCGAAAAAAATAGGAAACCAACGATAAACTCGTTTTTCTCGCGGGATAGCTTACTCTCGCGAGATCCTTCCTAGCTCTTCTGTCAACAAGTCCCTCTGAGGGAACGCATGCGCAAATCCATTTTCCTCCTTGACCCGTTTCGAGCCTCAATAAAGTTTGCGTTCTCGTGGTTTATTTTGTTTCTTCTCGTTTTTGTTTCCAAGAGCCCCGCCTGTTCCTTGCACTTCCGGTTCAGTCGGTGTGTGGGGGGGTTGGCCCGTCTGGGATGGTCCTGACGGCGACAGCGGCTGTCCTTGGCGTGGGAGCGGCGACTTGATGGTCTTTCCAGGTAAGCGGTGTTGGCAGTGGTCGGTCCCTCCCTGAGGGCCCTGCCGCCAGCTTATCCCTCTGCAGGGGCTGGTCGTCGCCCACCGGCCTTTGTCTGAAGGGTTCTGGTTCTTACCGTCGGAGTCCGAGCTCTTACTATGGGAGCCAGGCTGTTGGGAGGCCCAATGGATTGGGTGCTGGGTTAAGAGGGTTTTTGACCTTATCTGTAAGAATTCACTTGTTTAGCCTTTCTTCTCTCCTTCCAAGAACCTTATCGGATCTGTTCAGGCAGTTTAATGCGGCATCCTGCTTCCAAGAGTGCCCATATAGCTAGAATATGAAAATGACCCCAGGATCCCGGCCATTTATCCATTTATATTTTATAGAAACGTAGCTGATGAATTTGCATTTTTAAAAATCGATGGCAGGACTTTTTTTCGTTGTATTGTATATATCTGCTTCCATATGCACATGGTAATTGTTTCATATTTGCAGTAAAACAGTTAATCTCTGAGTAGCAGAGTATGCCATCCTATTGTAAAATTAACAATTCCTGCTAATTCTGCTTCTCCAAGTGAGTCCTCCCTGCTGGTTGGAAAAAATATGCCTCCCATCAAATGTTTTGAAATAAAAGTATCCTACTATGGTTCTTTAGTTCTCTGGTTTGTTTTTAGCTAACAGAGGTTTCAGTATAAGAACAATCCTGCTAGATCAGATCAAGCCCACCTTAGTCCATTTTGTTTCTTATAAGCATCCAGATGCAGGGAGGAATAATAAAATGCAAAAATTAAGTTTGTTCATTTGGATTTCTGAGGAAAAATTGATATTTTAAAAACACTGCAACTTCTCTTCCTATTGTTTTCATTTTGAACCAATTGTTTCCTTCAGTGGGACTTACTTCTAAGTAGATTTACATAGGATTACACTGTTATATTCTGGTTTCTCCTCTCTCATTTTAAGTTATTAATTCCTCAGAAGCTAATCTACATGTGAGGCTATATATTCAATATTCCATGTAAGGTATTTGGGGGGTGACCCCAGAATGAGCTATATAAGGATTATTTTGTGCATTTATGAAGTTATCAAGTTCTGAAAAATTCTAAACTTACTATTTTGGACAATTCACCTTTTCAAAAACACAAAATAGCTATAGAATGCATGATTCTGAATGAAAATTGGAATGTTCTGAATTTGGATTTCACAGAGAAAAAATGTTACCCATCAGTAATGTATATTCTGTAAATTATCTTGATCAATTCTGTAAATTATCCATGTAAACGTTGAAATACAGGACAGTGGTGAAGTGGAAAATCTTACATTTAATTTCAAAAGCTATATTTTATACTTCTTGTTAATGTTAATATTGATTTGATTGCTGTGGTCACAGATTAATGCTGTTTGTAGAAATGATTGTGGCTCGTTGTTAACGGCCTGAAAAAAAAACCCCTCAGGACTATAAAACACTTCCATCTGATAATTCTAGCTGAATTATATATTGTTAGTCTAAATTATTGGTGTACAAACTTTTGGCTTGCCTGGGCTGCATTAACCGAAGAGGAATTGTCTTGGGCTGCATATAAAATATATAGTTAAAGGTATTTTAATCACATAATGTTAAAAGTTTACGATCTTGTGGGTTTGAGAAGCCTGGTCTAAACAGACCATTGGTTTGACTTAACATAAAAGTGTATATGTTTTGAAACAGGAAAAAATTAATTTCCATGGACTGAGCTATTTGTGAATATGTTTATATAATAAAATATTGCCTTTGAAAGAAGAGTAAAATTGGGGTAAAATAACTATTTTTTTATTTTAGTACTTATATTTTAGATTGAAGCTAGCACTAATGCTAACATTGGCAAGCAAACTGAAACGGGATGATGGTGTCAAGGGCTCCCGTACTTCCAACTCCACTTCTGATTCTACTAGAAGAGTGTCAATTAGAGATAAATTGCTTGTTAAAGGTAATGCGCTTTCCTATTTAAATATATTTTGTCCATTTTTTAAAAAATTCAGTGTAATGTCACACAATTATCGGAGGGGTCCCTGGTGCTCTCTGAGCTTGCTTGTTTTCTTGCAGATGTTTTATTGTCCAAACTCAATAATATCAGTAAGGAGTGCAGTGTGCTATCAATTGATATTCTAGTGGCTTGCCTCTCAGTGTTGGTGGGGGTAATCTTAGATATTCTTTGCTTGGGCTGTTTTCTGTTGGCAGTTGCTTGATTGGGATATTATTTACTTGATTGTTTGTAATTTTTAACATATTTCTTGATTTATATTGTTACTTCATTTGGAGATAGTGTATTAAAAAGTAAATAGGTTTGAATATTGTAATGGAATGTTTCCTACAAATGTGTAGTTTAAGTTTTTATTAATTTTTACATTTGTACCCCACTGTAATCACTATAACTCTGGACAGTTGTTTGGTTGATTTCTAAATGTTGTAATAGAATAGAATAAAATTCTTTACTGGCCAAGAGTGATCGGGCACACAAGGAATTTGTCTTTGGGGCAAAAGCTCTCAGTGTACTTAAAGTGATATAAGTGATAAGTCATGATCATAGTCATCATAAAAATACATTCATCATATCATAAGATATAACAATTAATCATAGTCATAGGAAACTAAATAAAACTATAAATCATAAAGATACAAGCAACAAAGTTATACCCTTTTCCCTGACAATAAGACCTATCCTGAAAATAAGCCCTAGCACATTTTTATGTGTGCGCCTAATATAAGTCCTACCCCCCAAATAAGCCTTACTTAAGAGCCTGCGTAGCCCCGTTGTGGCCATGAGCAAGCAGAAGAAGTGGGTCTGTGGTCATGGGTCCTGGACGGGGCTGCTCGTGCCATGGCCGTGGAGCAAGGCAGGTACTGGGGGCATCAGTGACCTGGCTGCCAAGGCCCTGAGGTAAATTGATGTGGGACAGCTCCATCCCCTCCTGCCTCACGGTGGCAGCACTGGCATGCAGTGTGGCTTCTACCCCATTGTGAGCAAGCAAAAGTGGGCACCCTGTACATGAAAAGAAAAATAAGATTACCCCCAGAAAATAAGCCCTAGTGCTTATTTTGGGACCCAAAAGAAAATAAGTCCCAGTCTTAATTTTGGGGAAAACACGGGTAGTCATAAATCAAAAGGAGATAGATAATAAGCAGGATGAGAAGAATAGTAATACAGCCTTACTAATTAGTTTGACTGTGCTGTGGGAATTCGGTGTTTAGCAGAGTGATGGCATGGGGGGCGGAACTGTCCTTGTGTCTAGTTGTTCTGGTGTGCAGTGGCCTATAGCATCATTTTGAAGGTAGAAGTTGACACAATTTATGTCCAGAATGGGAGGGGTCTGTAGATATTTTCACAGCCCTCTTTTTGACTTGTACAGGTCCTCAGTGGAAGGCAGGTTGGTAGCAATTGATCTTTCTGCACTTCTAATTATCCATTGAAGTCGGTGTCTGTCTTGCTGTTGCAGAGCCAAACCAGATAGTTACTGAGGTACAGATGACAGACTCAATAATTCCTCTGTAGAACTATATCAGCAGCTCTTTGGGCAGTCTGAGCTTTCTGAGTTGGCGCAGAAAGAACATTCATTGTTTTTTTGATGATGTTTTTTTATGTTAGGTGTCCATTTTAAATCTTGAGATATGATAGAACCTAGAAACGTGAAGGTCTCTACTTTGATACTGTATTGTCTAGTATTGTAAGAGGTGATTGTATAGGAGGGTTTCTCCTAAAATCTACCACCATTTCTATCATTTTGAATGTGTTCAGTTCAAGATTGTTCCGGTTGCACCGCAAGGCTAGTTATTCAACCTCCTGTCTGTATGCAGATTCATCGTCTTGAATGAGACCAATCACTGTATCATCTGCAAAATTCAGTACTTTAACAGAGGGATCTTTTGAGATGCAGTCATTGGTATAGAGAGAAGAGAAGTGGAGAGAGCACACAGCCCTTGAGGGCCCCCTCTGCTAATTGTACAGGTATCTGATGTGATTTTGCTTAGCTTCACCTGCTGATTCCTGTCTGTTAGAAAGCTTATGATCTATTTACAAGTGTGGTCAGGTTCTATTTGCTCTGTAGGCAGATTGCAAGGAGTCTAATAGTGTATCCAGCTGTTTTCAGGTGGGCCAGCACTAACCTTTCAAAAGTTTTCATAACTGCAGATGTCAGAGCAACTGGTCTGAAGTCATTAAATTCCTTGATGGAGGGTTTCTTCAGCACTGGGATTATAGTAAAGCATTTGAAGCAAGAAGGAACATAGCACATCTCTAGTGATTTATTAAAGAAGTGGGTGAAGATGGGGGCCAGTTGGTCAGCACAAGCTTTTAAGCAAGGAGTTATCTTGTCTGGACCTGGTGCTTTTCCTGGCTTTTGTCTATAAAATAGACCTTGCAGATTATTTTCTGTAATCACCAGAGGTGGGGGGCCCAAGGCAGTCTGTTAATAGGAGACTTTGCTGCTGTTGGTGTGTCTGAGATAGGGTTTGTGGAGATAGGTAGCAGTAGTTTTCTCTCAAACCTTCAGTAAAACACATTCAAGTCATCTGCCAGTTGTCGATTTTCATCAGCATGGAAAGGAGATTTGCTGTAACTGGTGATACTTTTAAGAGTTTTCAAATGTTTACTAGTTCATTTGTTGAGAACTGATTCCCTAGCTTTTCAGAGTAGCTTGTTTTTGCTGCTCTGATCTCCCTTGTTAATATGTTTCTGGCCTGATTGTGCAGCATTCTATCGCCTTTTCTGTAGGCTTCCTCTTTGGCACGACGCAGCTGCTTAAGTTTAGTTGTGAACCAAGGCTTGTTGTTACTGTATATTCACAGGTTTTGGTTGGCACACATAGATCTTCACAAAAACTGACATATGATGTTACAATATCTGTGAGTTCATCCAACTCTGCAGAAGTATCTTCGAAAATGTTCCAATCAGTGCAGTCAAGATTTCATTGTTGGTTTTATGCTTTAAATCTTTGTCTATAAACAGGTACAAGGTGAATCATGCAATGATCAGTGTCCCACAGCTGCTTGTGATAAAGACCGATAAGCATCTTTTAATGTTGTGTAGCAATGGTCTAAAGTATTCTTGCCCCAGTTGAGACAGTTGACATGCTGAAAATAATTTGTAGCAAGTATAAGAGCAATATATTATGTAAGAAAAATGTGTGAAATAAGTGGAATAGTTTAACACTGAATAGAGAATAAAACGAAGGATATGTGCTCTCTTTCATGATAAAAATGACAACAAAAGTTGTAAGAGTTGGAAAATGAGATCTGGTCCATATGAGAATATCTGGTTTGGAGCTGGTGCCTTGCAGGGCAGGGTGAGGCTCCTCTCTCCCTGCTGAGCAGCCCCAGTGAAGGAGGTGCGTGATTGGGGGTCTCTACCCCTGGCAGCATGTGCACGCCGTAACCCAGAAGAGCAAAGGTTGATGGCTGGTGTGCCCAAAGTGGCTGTGTGCCACTTCTGGCATGCATGCCTTAGGTTCGCCATCACGACATTAAATGATTTAATCTCCAGACCCTTCATTATTTTTGTACACTTTCTAGGGTGTTAAAATATTTTTTGTATCATGGTGACCAGAAACTGGACATATTTCCAGTATGGTCTTACCAGTACGATAGAAAGTAATACCATATTTTCTTGTAATCTTGATACTATCCCTCCCTCTATTGATGCAGCTTAGGACTGCTTTGACTTTTTTGGCAGCCACAGCACACTGCTGGCTCATACTTATTAGTTGTCCTCCAATCTCTCTCAGTCACTGCTGTTGAGCCAGGTATCACATTTGTTTTTTCTTGTCTAACTCTACAATCTTGCTTTTCTCACCAGTGGCATTCATTTTGTTCAATGGGGCACATACAGTATTCAAATTTGTTAAGATCATTCTGTACCTTGAGTCTGTCTATTAAAATGTTGGCTGTTCTCCCCAGCTTGTTGTTGTCTGCAAATTTGATGAGTTCCCATTGGATCCCCTTATCTAAATAATTTGTGAATGAATTGATTTCTATTACTGTTTTTAGGCTGTGAGGTTTGAAAATAGTTTTGATTTTTACTCTTCTGAAATTCTTTTTGGACTCTGATAATAGAAGCCATGTGCATATAATGTAGTAAATAAATTCTATACAGAAAATATATTCTGTTCTCAAAGTAAACAGTGGCAATTATATTTTACCTTGTATGATATGCTACTTTAATTATTTTAATGTTTTATTTTGTGTAATACTGTTATGACTTACCATACTGATTTGCTGTTTGATTAAAATTATTTTGTTCTTGCTTACTTTTTAAATTAAATCTTTAATGAATTGTTTTATATTGTGTAGTAGTTTGATTGTTTTTTGTTAATAGTTTACTATGCATTATAATGTAGCTGAGATATCTTTATCAAAATGGTAAATAAAATTGACATTGACTGATATTTTTATTTTGTTTTTAATAGAAGTTGCAGAACTTGAAATAAATTTACCTTGTAAGTATGGTTTTAGCATATTTTTAAGGATTATTCAGATCCTAATTTTTCATTCTTATGTCACACATTTAAGATAATTGAGGAATATTTACATAAGCCCTTCTGGAATTGTCATTTGTTGTGGATGGTAATTAAGGGAGGTTACAGGTAGATATTACAATTCTTTTATCCTCAGCTCTTTTGGGGGGAAATTGTTCTGTTTCCTTTTTTGCATCTTCCTCCTTTCTTGGGGTATCTTGGGAAAAGCTTAACATTTGACATTCTGATTCATCAGATATCAAACATTTCAATTTTTTAACTAAAGGTTTAAACAAATGATTAAATATTATTGAAATGAGTTATTGGCTTTAATCATGCCTAATGTTTCAGGATGTGAAATTTGTGTTGCATATTTTACTCTTTGAAATATCTGTGTATATTCACTCATAAGTAATATATGAAAGCAGTTTATGGCATTTGTAAATAAAAGAGTACTCAGGTTCCTAAAGGTGACGAAGGGGATTGTTTATATTTTACCAGAAAACTAATGCTATGATTACAGGTTATAACCACAGCTATGACTAGAATTTCTGTTACTAAGCAAAGGTAGTTGTTAAGTGACTTGTGCCTGATTTTACAACCTTTTTGTCATGGGTTTTAATTGAATTGCTACAGTTGTTAAACAGCCAGTTTACCCCCATTGACTTCGCCTGCATGAAGCTGGCTGGCAAGGTCACAAATGGCTATCATAACCCAAGGATTCTGCAACTGTCATGTTGGTTGCCAAATGCCCAAATTTTGATCATGTGGCCATGGGAATGCTGTGATGGTCATAAGTCATTTTTTTCAATGCTGTTGTAACTTTGCACTGTTGCTAAATGAATGTTTGTAAGTCAAGGTCTACTATATTTTAGACCAAAATTTTGGTAGTAACTGTAAAAGCATAAAGCACTTTGAGGATTGTTTTCTGAGTTCCTTAATATACTCAAATGGATGCAGGATACAGAAACCTAAGTGAAGATCTTTTTCTGGTTGAGCAGGGCTCGCTATAGAAAAGTATGATTGAGTTTGAGAATTATTGTAAGAGGTAGTTTTTATTTGTATAGGCCTTTAAAATATTACGTTTAATGCTCATTAGTCCGCATTATCGCTTACAATCTTCACATTTTGTTTTGTTTCTATATTTTCTTTTCTCATCCTGATCATAAACATTACAAATTGTCAATTATTTCAGATTTTTATGTTTATTTTCAGGTACATGTGAAGTGAACTATCCTGACCCAAATAAACTCCATTTCTTTCTTCTAATTATAAACCCAGGTAATTAAAGTGTGTGTGTATGTGTGTGTGTATGTGTATTAAAAACTCTGATAACTTTAATTGGTCCTAAGCACAGAATATATTCAAATATTCACCTGCTAAGTTGTTTAGGTAATTCTAGGACTTTATTCTGTGTGGCATGAGCAAACTCCACTTTATACTGTGCGGAACTTCCTTCATACTCTCTTCCCCACTATATATCAAATCTCCTTTAGAGGTTAGTTTTTCCTCTGAGCAGATTTGATGGGTAAGCTGGGTGGGCTGGAACAGGGAAAAGGAATCTGTTCCACTGATGATATTCTGTGTTTATAAAGATAACAGTGGTGACACTGGGTGCAACTTCTAAGGTAAAGGTATAACACTGAAATAGTAAAATACATTTATGAGGTAGAATATATTCACAGTACACCCCATTGAAATATTTGATAGTTTTAAAATATTTCAACAAAAAGGAATTTGATCTTCTACTCATTCAACAGAAGATATAATATCTTACGACTTACATTTTACACTCGTATGTAGTTGAAATAAACATAATGCAATTTTTTCATGTGGAAAAAGCAAGTACATATTTATATTGATTACTACTTCAAATATCAAAAATTACAATCGTATATACTAGATTAGAACATTACAGAGCTTCTGAAAAGAAACTGTCTTATTAAAACCTCAGGCATTTATGTTGCTTTAAATTGGAAGTGTGTGCCTATATCAAAAGACCTCTCTGAGGTCTTCAGAAAGAAGGATATACCTAATTAATTAATTTTGCTGTCCATTTCACTGTAGGACTACTCTGGGCAGCTTGCAACAATAAAATGGGGGAAATGATAAAATATGTAAATATAACAATAACAAAGGAATAAAACAATGGAAATAAACAATGGAAGTACAGTAACATGAAATTAAAAAGATGGGTGGAGGAGAGCAGGAAGCACAGCGGGGATGTGGTGTCAGCAAATTTATCTAGTAGCCACCTCCAGTAATATACTGCCCTATTGGGTCTCCAGGCCAACTGGCACAGCCAGTTCTTCAGGCCCTTGAAGAAGGATAGGAAGGGGGGCGAACCTCACCCCAGAGAACGTTCTAGCAGAGAAGGCTCTTCTGCATTCCATCAGTCAGAGTTCCTTGACCGATGGGATCCTCAGCAGGCTGCCTCTGCCAGCATAAGTAGGGTGAGACTTCATGCAGAAGATCAAACCTTGGGACTGAGTCACTAGTATAAATCAGAGGATTCTGGGAGAGCAAAAAGATGCACTGAGCTGCATAGAATTGGGACTCTGTTCCAACTAAAAACCTAAAGCAGGAAGCCTACAAGAGAATATCAATTTGCATCTACACAAATCCTGAAAAGCCGTGGAGAAATAGGGTAGCACCATTGTGACCTGAAAGTTGTATGTTATCTTTATAATACTGCCAATGGAGGACACAAATTGTACAAGTGCAAACTGATCAGGTTCCTAGAGGAGAAAGTTTAGAAGCTTATCTACCCACTCTTGAGCCTCATTCATGAAAATGAATACCTCAGAAAGGCAACATCCATATTCAAACTAAATGCAGCAAGGAAGAAACTACAAGGAAAAATGAAGCCCTAGAGGAAGACTGATTGCAACATGTCACTCAGAGGAAAAAAAAACAACCCTCAAGATTGTCCCTGCCACAGGAGTTGAACAATTGATTTCATATCCTCCTGCTGGAAAGAAACACACAGACAGGAGTAGGAGTGTGACAGGAAGAAACGTAACTCAGATTGTCACAAAGAGGAAGAGTTTGCTGTCCAAAAAAGAAAAAGGCATTTGGTGATGACTCACTGCTCGGAGGAATAAAATCTCCAGTTTGCAGACCAGCCAATCTACCAAGGGTGGGTGTTATCTCCCAGGTGCAAAGATCAAAGAAGAGAAGCTTACCCAAATGATTAAGCCCACTAATTATTATTCCTTTCTCTTTCATGTTGGGATGAACGATACAACAAAACAATATCATGAATGGATAAGGGAACTTGGTATGTTTAGCCTAATGAAGAGAAGGTTCAGGGGAGACATAGCAGAAGTCCTCTAATACTTGAAAGACTATCATAGGGAAGAACGCATTGATTTATTCTCTATAGCACATGAAGGCAAGACAAGCAATGGATGGAAGCTCATGAGAAATAAGGAATTTCCTAATAATAAGAACACTAAATCGATCGAACAACTCGTTTCCCTGAGTTGTGGGTGCTCCATTGCTGGAGATTTTTGAGAAAATATTGGAAAACCTTTTGACTAGAATGGTATAAGGACACCTGCCGTGAGCAAGGGATTGGACTAGAAGACCTCCAAGTTCCCTCCCAGCACTAGAATTCTATGATTCTAGTTTTGTTCTGGTCCTGAGTGTGCACCTCTGTTACTATATTTGGGAATATCAGTGGAGGCAATGGAGCTTTCTGGATGTTGTAGAAATGGGCAGACCAAATAGTTACTAATGAAATGACTAATTTGAAAATATCTGAACTGTGATCTATGAAATTTCGCAAGATGCATCCCCTTAGAATATTATGACTATTATAATCTACCTTGTCTTGGTTAAAGAAAAAAATCCAAAAGTTATTGGTTACCAAAAAGACCTTAGGATGGTAGAATACCAATTTATCTTAAAAGTGAGTGAATTGAAAAGTGAAAATATTTTCGTACTTTAAAATGGAAATTGTAAAAGAGCACATTTTACAGGTAATCCTCGACTTAAATCATTTCATTTAGCAATTGTGTGAAGTTGCAACTGCACTGAAAAAGTGATTTACACCAGTAGCACTTGCATTTAGACTTTTACAGCATTTCATAGTGCTTTACAGCCCTCTAAGTAGTTTACAGCATATTGCCCCCCAACAGTCTGGGTCCTCATTTTACTGACCTTGAAAGGATGGAAGGCTGAATCAACCTTGAGCCAGTGAGAATCAAAATGCTGTCAGTCAACAGAATTAGCCTGCAATATTGTATTCAAACCACTGCGCCACCACAGCTCTTATGACCATTTTTCAAACAGCCATTTTAGCATCCCCATGGTCACATGATCAAAATTCAAATGCTTGTCAACTAGCTCAGATTTATGACAGTTGCAGTATCCCAGAGTCATGTGATCACCTTTTGCAACCTTCTGTCAAGGAAAGTCAGTGGGGAATAGCAATAGACTTATATACCGCTTTACAGTGCTTTACAACCCTCTCTAAGCAGTTTTTACAGAGTTAGCGTATTGCCCCCAATAATCTGGGTCCTCATTTTACCCACCTCAGAAGGATGAAAGGCTGAGTCAACCTTGAGCCTGGTGGGATTTGAACTGCTAAACTGTAAGCAGCCAATAGTCAGGAGAAGTGGCCTGCAGTACAGCACTCTGACCACTGTGCCACTGAAGCCAGATTATTCACTTAATAACTGTGTTACAAATGTAACTGCTGTGGTTCACTTAACAACTGTGGCAAGAAAGATTGTAAAATGGGGGAAAGCTCGCTTAACTGTCTTGGTTAGCAACAGAAATTTTGGATTCAATTCTGGTCATAAATCGAGAACTACTTGTATTACGGTGGAATCGGGTGTGCAGGTACCCTTGCAGGGAACAATCAGATATACAGTGTTACCTCAATACTTGAGCACTTCAAAACTCTTCAAATTTGGTATTCAATGCATTTTGATGTGAAAATGTCCCAATACTCTTGCAACATTCAGTACTCCTGGAACCAATTAATAATGAGTATCAAAGTACCACTGTACTCAACTTCAACAGCAAACACTAGCATCGTCATAGTCCTATCACAGGTCCCTCAGATGTCCAATCCTGTATAAGATGACTAAAAATTGCAGTCAGATCCAGAATAACTTGTGCATTGCTAGAACCCATGTTGCTTCATTCTTATTCATCACTCCCTCAGACAAGCCAAACTTGTCCAGCTTTTTTAATGTTCCTCCTAGAACTTCGTTTCTAGACTCCTTATCCTGGTAGCTATCCTTTGAAATGAGTCCAGGTTTCAGACTGCAGTAGCTAATGCAGTAACTAATTATATTGGCAGTGTAACATCTAAATGGAGTGTTTCTATTCAATGTGGCTCATGATTGCAATGGAGCTTTTGCCTGTAATATTGTATTTTTTTTTTATTCAGTGGTCCACTTATAATAGTTTTACATGCGCTGTGAACAAGTCAGACCTTCCCATGTTCAAATAACCATTCAATTTTTTTCTGCCAGGGTTTAAGACTTTACACATAACAGAATAACAGAATTGGAAGGGGCCTTGGAGGTCTTCTAGTCTAACCCCCTGCTAAAGCAGGAAACCCTACACCATTCTGGAAAAATGGCCATCCAACCTCTTAAAAACGTCTAGTGATGGAGCACCACAACTTCTAGAGGCAAGCCATTTCCTTGATTAATTGTTCTCACTGTCAGGAAATTTCTCCTTAATTCCAGATTGGCTTTGATAAGCTCCCATCTGTTGCTTATTGTCCTGCCCTTGGGTGCTTTGGAGAATAGATCAATCCCCTTTTCTCTGTGACAACCCCTCAAATATTGGAAGGCTGTTAACATGTCACCCCTTGTCCTTTGTCAGACTAGGCATACTTGGTTCCCGCAACTGTTCATCATACAGTTTAGCCTCCAGTCACCTAATCATCTTTGTTGCTATTCTCTACACTATTTCTAAAGTCTCAACATTATTTTAATGTCATGGTGATCAAAACTGGATGCAGTATTCCAAGTGTGGTCTTACCAGAGTAGTATAAAATGGCACTAACATTTCTTGTGATCTTGATATTGTTCTCACTGTTGATGCAGCTTAGGACTGCATTGGCTTTATTGGCTATCTTCTAAAGCAGAGGTGTCAAACTCAATTTCATTGAGGGCCGCATCAGGGCTGTGGTTAATCTTGGGGGGTTGGGTGGGCATGGCCAACCAGGTGGCATGACCAAATTGATGCCACTCTCCAAACTGCTGGCATGTTTCCTCTTCGAATTGGGTAGACCAGGCCGAAGCTATGTTGGCCTG